CAGGAAATCCTTCCTGCGGTCTTACAGAACACGCCGCTGTTTTTAGGTGATCTTGTGAATGCTAACTGTGATCATATGTCAGCGAGTCTTTGGGAAGCACAGAGGTCAGAAGACTCTTGTTTTTCTTCTAAATTTGTTTGCAGTTATGTCCTAAATAACAGCACAAAGACACCTCTTTGTGAGATGTTTCCTAACTTTGCATGAAAAACCTTACTGAGTACTCTGTTAGCATTTTAGCTATGATGGCACATGGATGGCACAGGGGTAAAAAAAGTGCTTAGTATTATGCTTGCTTCATGTCATTAAGCTCATTAAATGTATAAAACACTGACATGTGGATGCTTTCTGTATTAGTTCTTGCAGTAACAGCTTGTCCACCTTTATTTAGTTCTGGGAGGTGATCAGCGACGAGCACGGCATCGACCCGACGGGCACCTACCACGGAGACAGCGACCTGCAGCTGGACAGGATCAGCGTGTACTACAATGAAGCCACAGGTGAGTTCATCCCGACTACAGCGAGGTCTGTGTTTGATCAAATGAAAGAAGACATCTCCTCCCTGTGGAGACACCGGCTCACTGCAGCAGAGAAGCAGAAGATGCAGATAAAAATAAAGCAATGAAGCACTAATTGTTTGTTCGCTGGTTTCACATTGTTACAGGTGAGGATGTGTTATCTTCACCTGTTCTCATGATGACATTTATTAGGGGGGCATGTTGCCTTAAAATGCCAGAAACATTAAACAAGCATGCATTAAACAAAGGTCGTTTATCCTGAAAAACATTTGTACCAAACTCTGTTTGACACAGTGATAGTGGACTATGTCAGCCTTAATTATTCCCAGTCAGAGCCTCAAATGTAGCCCAGGAGCCAGAAGGAGCCTGCCAAAGGCTTCATCCCACTGCTCTGGATGGCTTTAAACATTGCAGTGGAGTCAGTAATTACTCATTTAGTTTCAGTAGCATACATTTTCATGGCGTGGTGATGCCAGCATTGGCTTACTACTACCAAGTATTTCTGGAACCAGACGACTTGTTCAAAACATAAAAACATAAAATACTGTTTGTGTTTGGTTCTGAAAACTTAACGTGTGCCTTTTACTTTGGTTTAAAAATTATATTGAACATGTTACGCTTTCATAAAAAGGTCCTAAAAAGTAACAACAGGTGTCCAGGTTGAAAAAGGAGACAAGGAAGCAAAACTGTTAAATTAAAGGGTTTTATTAATGTTTCTACTACTAACTAAAGTAAAAGAGACGAACAAGCCGACATCACCTTAATTAAATTAAATTAGTTTTTCACATCCTTGCTTGTTTTTTGTTTTCCTAGTTTAGATTGTTGTTAGTTGTTTGCTTGCTGTAGTGCTGTCTCAACAGGACCTCATAACATAGTTTTATTCCCTCTTGTGCTTCTTGTCTCCTTTCTGAACAACAATAAATCTCTTGAACCTCGAAAACCTCTGAGGGCTGTTTGTTGTAAATATAACTTGTTATGCAGAGGTTTAACTTGTCCACCCTCTTGAGATCAAACTCGACTGTTTGCGGCCCGTGAACTAAAACGAGTTTGACACGTCTGCCTTCAGTTGTTGCATAAACCTAATTTAACCCGACAGCCTAAAGCAGCCCAAAGTAAAGCTGAAAAATCACAGGCTGACTCAGGAGCTAAGAAACTAAATAAAATGGGCATTTTATTTTAAATGAATGAAAATGAGCTGGATAAGCTTCGCTGAAAGCTCACAGGAGTAAATGGTCTGTTAAATATGCAGTTTAGCCTCAGTGTGTTGAGTCTAGACATCCTGTAACTTTGCAGTAAATGTCTCCATCTAGTGGCTACACGAGATACTACAATCATCGTTCAGCTTTCTTTCTTTTTACACTTACAGCTCCTACAGGTTAAGATCCTTTTGTTAATCTTTTATTTCATCTCTCTTTGTGTCTATTTTAATATATGCAGGTGGGAAGTACGTGCCCAGGGCCATCCTAGTTGACCTGGAGCCAGGAACCATGGACTCAGTCCGTTCTGGACCCTTTGGGCAAATCTTCAGACCCGACAACTTTGTCTTTGGTAAGAACACCACCTACTGAACAGGATGGGCTGCACTCGCTGAACACATGAACTGTTTACACATGAACTTTGGTCATTTTCAGGAGAATCAGGTCAGATTTTCCACTGTTTTTTTCCTCACATGTAGCACGCAGCAGGTACTGGTCTGCTCCACATGCACTCACATCACTGACTGTGTTATTAAAGTGAAGGAGCTGCCTGGATAGAGTGGGCAGGAGGGAGCACATTTGACTCCCACTCACTAACTGGGCAGGTAGCTGCTCTATGGGCACATCATCGCGATCAACAGTCACTTGGACATGTAGAGTGGGGAGCTGGGTGGTTAAAAACCAGCTCATGTTTGACTGGACAGCACTGGACATTTGCATTATCACATGCGCCTCTTTCAGGTCATCTCTAGAAAAGTTCAAGCCTGTGGTGCATGTGTGAAAACAGCTATAAAGTTAAAAATTATCAGATGGTCTGGAGCTGTCAGGGTTTGGACTCCTGATGAGTATCTGTGCTGCTCTATTTTGTGGCTAAAGTCACATCGAGTCCATCGGTCAAATTTAGCTCAACAGACTGTCCTACATGGCACAAACAAGCTCACTCCTGCCATAAAATCCCAGCATGAAACCCTCTGGGACCTGAGCTGACTGATTCTGACTCAGTACGATGCTTCAAAGCCAGGCTCACTTTCCTTTGTTGCTCTTTCCTTTCGCAAACACTGGGAAAAATGTTTTCTTAAACAGTTTGACTAAAAACTGAAACAGTATAATCAGCTTCACTTTTGTTTCCCAGGTCAAAGTGGGGCAGGAAACAACTGGGCTAAAGGTCACTACACGGAGGGGGCCGAGCTGGTGGATTCAGTCCTGGACGTGGTGAGGAAAGAGGCCGAGAGCTGCGAGTGCCTGCAGGGTTTCCAGCTCACGCACTCTCTGGGAGGAGGCACCGGCTCCGGCATGGGAACCCTGCTCATCAGCAAGATCAGAGAGGAGTACCCCGACCGCATCATGAACACCTTCAGTGTGGTGCCCTCCCCTAAGGTAGAGCATTGCCCCACAGGATGCACTTTTTAAAAATGACCTTTCAGTGCTTACTTATGGTAGTTTTGGAAGTCTGAGCATAGGCTGCACAATAAAAGATCAGAAAAGTGAAGCCGTAAATCTGTGTTCGCTCTAATAGTCAGCACGAGGCAAAGTCTGTAAGACCTCAGCACCTCAGTAAACACTTTCTTGATGACTTTGTGTTTTCAGTTGCTAGTTTTAAGTCATATTGAAAATAATATAATGTCCTTTTTGTAAATTATGTCCCAACAACGGTCAGAAATGAAGATAAAGCTGAGTATGAGTGACAGGTTGGCATATATCAGTGCGCATATATCTGTGTTCAGCACTTTGAACTATGGGAAATAAATCTACTGCACAATAAATCACCTGTTTGTTTATAATAAATGTTTATGCTATTTCTGCATCAGCCATGAGTATCGACGTTTCCTCTCGCTCTGTCTTCAGGTATCAGACACGGTGGTGGAGCCCTACAACGCCACGCTGTCCGTTCACCAGCTGGTAGAAAACACCGATGAGACCTACTGCATTGACAACGAAGCTCTTTATGACATTTGCTTCCGCACCCTCAAGCTCACTACGCCCACCTACGGCGACCTGAACCACCTGGTTTCGGCCACCATGAGCGGCGTGACCACCTGTCTGCGTTTCCCCGGGCAGCTGAACGCCGATCTGAGGAAGCTGGCCGTCAACATGGTGCCCTTCCCTCGTCTCCATTTCTTCATGCCCGGCTTCGCCCCTCTCACCAGCCGGGGGAGCCAGCAGTACCGCGCCCTCACCGTGCCGGAGCTCACCCAGCAGGTGTTCGACGCCAAAAACATGATGGCAGCTTGCGACCCTCGCCACGGACGCTACCTGACGGTGGCCGCCGTGTTCCGTGGGCGCATGTCCATGAAGGAGGTGGATGAGCAGATGCTGAACGTCCAAAACAAGAACAGCAGCTACTTTGTGGAGTGGATCCCCAACAATGTCAAGACGGCCGTCTGCGACATCCCGCCGCGAGGCCTCAAGATGGCCGTGACCTTCATCGGCAACAGCACGGCCATTCAGGAGCTGTTCAAGCGCATCTCCGAGCAGTTCACGGCCATGTTCCGCCGCAAGGCCTTCCTCCACTGGTACACCGGCGAGGGCATGGATGAGATGGAGTTCACCGAGGCAGAGAGCAACATGAACGACCTGGTGTCAGAGTACCAGCAGTACCAGGACGCCACCGCCGAGGAGGAGGGGGAGTTTGAGGAGGAGGTGGAGGAAGATGCCTAAGTGAAAGCAAGAAAAAATGATAAAAGGAGGGAAAAGTTAATAATCAAAAACAAACAAAAACATAGAAAAAAAAATTTAAAAAATGATGTGAAATGAAGGAATGTAGGAGAGCAGATGAGGAAGGTCAGAGGAGGGTGGAGGTCTGAATCGGTTAATAGGACAGAAGAAGAGCGGAGAATGTAGACAGAAGGAAAGATGATGTCATGACCAAATTAATGTGCCATGGTTTACTGTTTCGTGTGACGCCACGTAAGCTGGTTTGATCAAAACTAGTCTCCCAAAATCTTTGTTTTTAACTCTAAACAGACGCACTTCTAACACTTTTTATTTCATTACATACAAGGATTTTCTTTACTGTGAAGGATTCAGCTGCTGTTACACTGAGGTCAAACCAAACCCTGCTCCTACATTCAATCAAACAAGCTTAGTGTTTGACCTGCGATCAAAAACACACTTTCAGCCTCAGTGAAAAAAATCATCTTCGGACTTCTTTGCTGATTTTGTGCAGAAGAGGTGGAAAGTGTATCTGTGACGCCTGATTCAAAACAAATAACTGAGCTGTACAGTCGCACTGGGCGGCCTCTTCATGTTTGGCATCAGCTGATTGTTGGTTTTGGTCTTTTCATTGAGTTTGTTGAACAAAATTTGAAAATCATGTCGGCGTAATCAAGGTTATCACATTGAGTGTTGAGATAGTTTCAGGTGTGTAACCTCGTAGTCAGTCTAAGTAATAATAAATCATTCTGTTATCAGTGTTAATGCCTTTTATCAGTGTTATTTACCGTTTTGTCTCAGCTTTCAAGATCAACTCTCAGTGATAAATGTGATTTTGGGCAGCAGGTGAGAAAACGTTATCAGTATTTCTTCTTCTGAGGCAGATATGCTTAATTAGCTGGATAATCTCTCATTTTTGACGCTTTTGTCGCAACCTTTTTAAGACTGCATGAGATAAAGAGTCCTGTGTGAGTCAGTCTTACGCTTGCAGAATATATTTTTTCTTTTCTGGACATCAGATTTTGCACCTTTGTGTAAATGTCTCTCCAGCCTCTGTGAACTCAGAGAGTTGTTTTTCTACAGCGTCGTGCTGTCATTAGCTTTTGTGGGGAAGAGGCATTCTGGTCTTACTAGACTGAAGGGAGCCATCAGTTATAATCAGGCCATTAATCTTTTCTTTTTCTTTTTTTTTAAATGAAAGCACAAGATTGAAAGTTAATGTCAAAGACGGGAACATCTGTTATCTTCTAGTAAATACAGATTCTTGGAAGTGGTTAACCACAACAAAAGTCACATTCAGTAAAACGTCAAAGAAAATGATTTGCTTTCCTGTGATATATACATTGGCAGAGCGTTCATAGCAGCAGCAGCAGGATTTTTCTCAGACGCCAGCCAACGTTTTGAGGAGAAACACACTGCACATGCTCAGTGTCCATTATACTAGTAAGTACAGATCCCTTGAAGTGATTAGCCACAACAAAAGTCCCATTCAGTGGATTTCCAAGAAACAAATTCATTTTTAGATATATATTTATTATCAACCAATGTTAGAGGAGAAGCGCACTGCACATAACAACTGCTCTGTTTTCCTTTCATACCACATCTCAGGCTAATAGAGCCCTCAGCTCCTCTGTGTTAAAAGCATGTCGCCTGTTGTTGGATTAACCGTCTGCTGTACTGTTTGAAAAGACTTGAACAAAGTTAGAACTAAAGAATACGTTTCTGAGACTCAACGGGACATTTTCCAATAAAAAAAAGTATTTAAATTCAAGCAAAGAAACATAAATCTGAGTGTTAAAAAAGTCAGAGTGACAGGAAAGATCAGCGTCTTTGAAGAGTTAACGTTGTGGATAAAAGTTGAAAACTTCCCTCACTATTATTATAACCTCACTATTCAGGCCAACATCTGAAGATCTGAAGTCTAACCTTAACATTTCCTGAAACATGTTTTAAAAATAAAATGGCCAGGTGCTTTTATTTTGAAAGACAAACCCCCCAGCTGCTTTGCAGTTTTATATTTCATCCTTTAACATATTAATTTAATTTTTCATTCTCCTAAATCTTTTCACACTGAGCCACTACAGTGTGCACGTGAACTTCAGCCATGTTTTCTTTGTGTTTCCTCTGTGCTTCATGTTGTTTGTACTTTTTTTTATTTTGAAGCTCGTTTGAAACTGTTTCATTTGGTATCCTGTTGACTGTGAAACATTTGGGAGAAATAAAAACACATTTATAGGAAAAAAATCGCCTGCCGTGTCAGTCATTATTAATGATCAGCTTTTAGTCTGCTTGTAAACAGCTTTCAGTGTCAGCTTTCAGGAAGTCGGTACAATATTATAACAGCAATAAACCGAGTGAGAGCTGCAGGCAGAAGCAAACATCCAAAACATATTTTCCCATCAAAGCAAAGTTAGATTTCTTGAGCTGAAAAGTGTTTTTAATCTCATTTTTTATTTATCTCGGTATTTCTTTAAGATTAAGTTAGTATTGAGTTTATAACATGTAAGGAAATTATGAAAGATTTTAATCTGGTTTCCATGATAACTTAAAGTCGTCTTCCCAACAAGCTAAAACATAAATATCATACGTTTGCTATAGTAACTCATTGTGTTTAACAGATGGCTATTTTATTATACAGCGAGGTTTTAGGTATCAAAGTGGGGATGCTTTCAGAAATTTTTAGCTTTATTTATTAGTTAATATGAAATAAGCAGGAACTGTGAGTGGATAGGATAGTGGGGGGTGAGAGCTGATCAGTTTTAAACAAGCAGGTCTGAGAGCATTTGCTACTTAGACAAGGGTAGACTTTAAATTTTGGGCAGAAGGTGGTTTCCAGAAGATTTGAGACGTGTTTCCCAGTTTGAGGGACATAGCAGAAACCACATAGTCTCTCAGTCTTTCCTCGTTTCCTCATGGTGTAACTGGGAAACTGGAAATCAGAGAACAATCCAACAGGAGTGGGTGAGAGTGAGCCAGCCAAACTTTCTGATTGGTTTAAGGTGAAAGGAGAAATTGGAGAATGTAATGAAGTGCAGGGCAGAAGTAACAAATTAGCAAACCAGAAGATACTGTGGCTTGAACAGGAGGAGCAGGGCCAGGTTTAAAGATCTCCCATCTATACTTAAACTCCTGTTTTTCCTTTCACCTTACACCAATCAGAAAGTCTGGCCCACTCTCACCCACTCCTGGTGAGAGTGTGTCTGCCAGAGAGTTCCAGAGAACAGGGAAGAAAAAAGTAAGAGCAGGACAGAGGAGGCCATAACAGCTACACAGGTAAGAAACATGGGATTTAATACAAATAACCAAAGCATAGTCAAACAGGGTTAAAGTTGATCCTGTTTTCTGCTAATGTACATCTTAAATCTGGGTACCTATACTGTATACATGATACATCAGTAAATACATAGATCAATAAGCACAAACACAACTGACTCAATGAAAATTAGCAGGAGTGATCCCTTTCACTCTGTGGGGGGAGGAGGTTACCATCTGCTGCAGTGCTCGTTGCTCTTTGAAGATTTTCATTATAACTCCTCTGTGTGTTTGGGGTCGCTGTGCTGCTGCAGAGCAAATCTGAGGCCCATCAGAGGCTCCCTGGTGATGAATGAGCATCTAAACATCTTCAGCACGTATGCACGTCAAGTCTGGACAACTAATTCAAGTATAATAATGTCCAGACTCCACAAATAGGCAGATAAATAGCACTTCTACAGGGCCTGCGCCTCCGGCAGGTCGAGGCTGTGATTCAGTCGAAGGCAGTGACGCTGGGAGCTGGCATAAATCAGGACCTTGGACAGCATCAACAGAGAAGTACAAGTCAGGAAATCGGGATCTTGGTCAGCACCTCCTCAGTAAGCCGGGAAGATGAAAGACCGCACTAATTTACATCCAACATAGATCTCTTGTTGATTTATTGCTAACAGTGTAAAACAGAAATGACCCTCTGGGTCAGTCCAGATTTTTGCATCCATTCTAAGACAAATAAATAAATAAAAAAGTAGAATAGTACAGTGCATTAGACTATGCAAATGTTTCAATAAAGTAAAGTCTTTTTCTCACATAAATGAAATGTGATGAGTCAAAGTGGCTCAGTTAATATTTTTTTTAATAAAATTAAAATATAAAAATTGTAAAACAATTATTTTTAGAAACTGACAACAAATGTGTTCAATCTAGTAAAATGCAATAAAAAAACAGAGTCTAAAAACTGCCCAAACTTATTGGAGAAGAGTGCTGTCAATCGTTCTCTGGCACAATGACAAGAGCTGTTCCAGTACTGCTTTTACTACTTTTCTGCTTGTGTAAAGATGCTGGTGCAGTAACATTAAGCACTGCTGCTTGTAAACAGTTGTTCCACACTAAAATGAATAAAAAACACCTACAAACAACCATGACTGATGAGCACCTGTGGCCTGGTATACAGAGGTCTAGTATACCTCCAAATTACATCGATGAATTTATTCTACTATTTAGTAGCAAACACAAACAAAAAGAGAACAGCTGTTTTTTAAAAGGCTGTTTTAAAGCAGAGCTCACCCAGCTGGGTGATGGCTTAGAATGGGAAGTAAAGATGCATATTAAGTTACTCCCACCTCATGTATGCTTTAGCTGTTGATCACACATGTATGAAATAAATTAATCTGATGAAACACAGAAGCACAGTCTAACAACTTGTTGTTATTTGGCTACACGTCTGCAGGGAGTTATTTTCAATATTTTTGTGATTTTAGACTAAAAAGAGATAACTATACACAGAAGTTGCTATGGTAACTTGCCAGCCCCTTAAATTACAGCTCAATAAAAACTGGAAATTGGGTCTTTGCACCTCATACTGACATTACTCTCTGTGAATACATGATCAGACTTTATTACAGGATGCCAGCTTAAACTGAGAAACTTGATCTGATTTGGACCAGCTCTCTTATATTAATAACTAATATGCCAATCTGCTTTCTATTTTTGTCTGCCCTACATCCATTGGTTAATAATTTTCTGCCTTTGCAATGCACATTAGCATCATGTTATCTGTAGATCTTTAGGATATCAGTTGAATTTACTGTAGATATGCAGCATATTAATGCAAATGCTGAATATTTGCATTAATACACAACAGAGGAACTTTTATTATTGCAGCACTGGAGCTCTATGTGTGCACTGTGACAGTTAACAGTACGAAGCTGCCCAATGTCTTCATTAGAACATAATGCAAATCTTTTTACCGACTCAGCAAAATGCGTTTTAATGACACTGCAAAAGCTTCTGCATGTTTTATACAGCTTAAGGGGTTTTCTGTTTTTTGCAGCGTGTTAATCACATTGCGCTTGTGATTAACAGGAGACCATTCACATGCCACTTAATATTGATTTTAAAAGGTGTGTCTGTCACTTCCTGTAATTGGCTTTCTTCATTTTTGATTTGTAGTTGTCTTCCACTTCATGGGTTAAATATGTCTGTGTTTTTATGTAAATCTTGTTGATTGCAAAGGAACAAAGCGCTTTAATGTAACTGAAAAAAATAAGATCGAGCACATGCTGTTAGAAATAAATACTATAAAATAATAATTATGTAAATGTACGAAAAACGACAATGCAAAAAAAAATATAAACATAAACATAAAATTGTTTTCGATGGTAATTTTGAACAACAGGCTGGAGAAATCGTGCATGTGTGATGGTGGCCTGAGGTTAAACTGCAGAGCGGTTTCTTGTGGCTCCGAGCCAGAATCGACGCTTTCTACCGAAGCTTTCCGAGAAAAGCCGAAATGAAATGGTCCACAAACCCGACATCAACCGAAAGTCCTCAGCCCACTCCCGAATCGGCCTCATTGAAGTCTCTAGTTGTCGAGTTGGGGGGTGATGGGGTGGACGAGATTGGTGAGATAAAGAAGGAAAAACATTTCCATCACTCCTGAGCCCCTCCCTGTCCAGTGATTTTCGGATCTGAGGCTTGACAAAGGTAATTACCCTCATCCATTTATAATTGCATATTACAACGACTGGTCTTTTTTTCCTCGTGATTTCGCTCAGTCAGGGAGGTAGTGGGTTAAATTCTGCAGTTTTTCTTCGCTGTTTTCACTATTTGCTTGTGTTGAGCGCTCGCACCGGTGATGTAGGGCGTGTAACCACCGGCGGCAGCAGTTACAGGGATTTCCTTCACACAATAATAAAGCAATTAACGCTACATTAGGGGCAAACTTTCTGAATTTCCCGGGAAAATTGCAAATTCCACAGCATTCAGGCAGAAATCAAAGCGCTGCGTTTGTTTGCATGGTGCCACTGCGCACAGTGGCCTCCTCCATTCTCCTAATTTTGGCTTAATTCTGTAAATTCATTCGTGTTTCTGCTGACGCCACTGAAAAAGCAGAGTCTTTGCACTCATGCTGATAATCAGATCGCCAAGTGGTTTAACGCTCGATATGCTGTATAGCGTATGATCCCGTGCTGCCCCTGGCTGTGGTGCATTATCGTGTGCTGTGTTCGGGAAATACCCGTCTGAAAACAGGGTATTTTCCAGGCAGAAACCGTTATGCAATGCACTATAGCACACACCACAGCCTCCCGCTGAAGGGGTGAAGTATTGGTCACTGAAAAGTCATTTACATTTTATTAAGAAAATGGATGGATGAATAAGTGCTGTGGTGAACTGTGGGAAGCCTTGCTTTTATTTTGTGGTAAATACATGAACCAAGCCACCGGTCTGTGCGTCATATTTATGAAAAATGCTTCTTATTAGGGTTCGTTTTGCTACAAATCTCCTCTAAGTGACGTGCCAATATTTGATTACTCTTTACTTAAACCATAAATTGATGGTTTACTGTTACCCCTCTGACATCTGTGAATTAATGAAACAAAGAGAGTCTCCATTCATGTTCACTCTGTCCCTTTACTCCCCTCCATTTTATCTGGACATCCACAAATTGGGACCGGTCCCATTCATGCTGGTGGTGGTCGTGACACACCCTTGGCTGCACCAGCTGCTGCTTCTGGCTTTGTGAGCTGTATAAGGAGGGGTTAAAGGGGGGATGGGGGTGGAGGTGCAGAAGAGAGTACATGCAAGTCCACAGAGTGGAGCCAATCTTGAAGGTGCAGCATCTTTAGATTTGAAGTTCCACTGCTGATCACTCTGACTGGAAAATGGACACAAGGGAGAAGCTTTGGATTAGCATTCTGAACATCAGTGATGTTCAGCATTTTCAGGTGGTGCAGAAGGGACCAGGTACCACTTAGGTGTGGCAGGTAGGAAATAGGAAAATGCTACTAGGAAAAAATAGCACTTGAAAATTGAAAAGTCATCGAGTTATAACCATCACAGCTGACCTCCATAAACATGCATTACCAGCATTGTCAGTATAAAAGATGCATGCAGCCACCATCACTCATTAGTAAGGGAAGTGTCAGTTAAGCATTTTCTCTGTTCCCATCTTGGTGTTTTGAAAGTGGATGTCAGGAGTGCACATCAACTTTTACCTCTAATAATGACCAAAGCCTAAAAAAAACCCCCAAACTTCAAGTTCCACTCAGTATGACCTGAAACCACCGAGAAAGCCTATGAAGTCATCAGGAAAATGTCTACTGAGATTGTGGAGCAAGCTAACAGAGAGCTGTTCTTACGAAGCCTTCTTTGGAAGTTTAGATGAGTCGCCCCCTGCTGGCCATTAAAAGTAATTCAGCTTTAAGGCTTTTCTGCACTTCTGTGGAAGCTACTTTTATCTTTTATAGCATCTTAAGTTAATTTCTTGCAAAGTAAAGGAGTTGGAGAATAGTAGATCATAGATCAACCCCCCCGAGAAATCAGCACCTCACCGCAGTGAAAGGGGGTTATAGCAAATTGGTCTCAGGGGAGGAATCAGACAAAGAGCGATGGAAAACCCTAACAGAACAGCGTTCTCTGAGTCGGTTAACCTCACCTGGAAGTGGGAAATTGGGGCTCTCTCTCTCAGAACCAAGCCTGTAAGAAGTGACCAGGTCAGTGTAGATGGGGCCTGTTTGGGCACAGTCCAAAAAAGATAACGTGCTTTAGCCCCCCTGTGGACCCACCACTTGTGTCGGTGGGCACTGGGGTTTGAGCATGTGGACCCTCAGCATCACAGACTGGTTTCTGGAACACTGTGAGGCATATGAAGGTGATTTATTGTCTCAAATTCATATTTAAAGGTTTCAGTGCATATGATTATATTACTTTTTATTATATAGTTATATATGATGCAGTGTGGAGGACAACACTATGTCCACCTCTCATTTCCACCTGTGCTTGCACTGGTGCGACAACACAGTTTTTGAGAGTCGAGGTACCCCAAACCTTCACGTCTTCTGATGTTATTGAGAAACTGTCACTGCTGTCTCAGTACAGGTGGAGGATATTTGACATTAGTGCACTATCATCACAGCTTATGAGTCAGACTAACCTTGAAAGGAATCAGAAGGATAATTAATGAGAGAGAAGACAAAGAAGGGAAAGTGTTTGAAGAGAAGATTAGAAGTACAGAAAGACAAACAGGAAACCAGAATCAGATTGAAGGTGGGAGATGAGAGAGCTGATACTGAAACAGGAGGAGGATGGAGGCATGATGCTGTTGCCCTCCGTCTTGTGTGGGAGAGCAGCGATGAGGTGGAAAAGGCTCTTAAATCCGTCAGTCACGATTGATGTCAGACTGATGAGATCAGCCGGGAAGATGTACCCTCTGAGCCTCTCACCGCGGGGCGGCTGCTGGACGTGTCATACGCACTTCACTAAATGCTATGCCTTGTCTAGTTTGATTGATCCTTTTAGTTATAATAGGAGACATGAGAGCTATGACCCCATTTAGACTCAGCCTCTATAAATGGACACGAGAGACTCAGCCAAAGGACAACGATTACATCTGTATAACAGGCCTCTTAGCTTATTATGACTTTCCTCTGACGCAGCGAGTGAGATGTTTAGAAAACCAGAAACTCTGGAAAATGCATCATCATACCTGCACTTGAAGAAATCCAAACCGGCGGTGTCAGGTGTGAGTTTTGTTTCATGCACAGCCACTACTCCCACCGCACTTCACTGAATAGATATTCCACGTTTTTAAAGTGGATGTGTACATTTATGTAATCAGCAGCAGCCTGTCATTTTCCCGTCAGATGCATGCTTCCTCTCAATCAATGAATCAAACCTGTGATTTATGTCTTTGCTGCAGCCCAGCATGAGCACTCACACATGCAATGAACTAATGCCACTGTAGAACATTAAAGTGAGATGATTTAAATCTGCTTCAAAAGGGCGGCGATTAGAAAATATGCTATGATTACTGTGTTTTCTGCAAAGGACTAAGAGCCTCTGGAACAGTTTTCCTGCCTACAGTAATGCTAGGGTGTCATTTTGAAATGTCCTCACATGTGTTGATGTGCTGAAGGAAAGTGTATGGGCTGTCACCTCTTTTTTTCTTTCTTTAAATAGCACTCTAATCCCTCATCTGAAGGAGCTGGCAGAAACGCAGTGGCATTTTATTGTTCTCTCAGTCTGAAGATGCCGTGATTCCCTCTTTTCCACCATCCTGAACTGGATCCAGGCAGGAAAATAAATTATACTTCCAAATATGCTGCAGAGCTCTGAAACCTGCTTTAAATTTAATAACCTTTTGCAGGCTGAAATCTGTAATCAGCAGGAAGAACCACTTTATTTGAATAAAAACTGAATTATCAGCAGGTATTTGGCATTCCTGTTCATTTCGTCTTTGTTGTTCAGAGTTATGTGGAAGGTTGAGTAAGTTTCAAATTAAAAGCGGACATATTTAGCCCGCGCCTGTTTGTGTGTTTTGTTTTGCTGAGCAGGCGTTTTGAAGTCGGTTGTGTCAGCCGCCCCATTAGAGCGGCGCTGTCGAAACAATGCCAAGGATGGAAGCAGGTGGATTGATTATTGTCATCCAAGTGTCAGCCTGATTGCAGGTGTAGTGTTAGGACAGTGGATTTGTGTTGTAGATGAATGCAAGTCTTTGATGTGAATCTGCATTTAATTTAATACTTCGACAGTATGTCAGTCTTTTACACCCACATGTCGTCGTGTTCCCCGACAGGATTATTACTAGCTTTTATAACAGGGTTGTGCGTACAAGATGGACACAGACGGCTGTAGACACGAAGAACATGAAGTAGTGACTCCTGTAATGCTTCTTTGACGTTCTCCTGAATACTGCATGTGTAGCTGGAGCTCATAGTGCAGCTCCTACCTCTTGTCTGTGAGGGGCATTTAGTTAGAAGAAAGGTGGCTTAAATGAAGTTTGGTCTTAAAATTAAAGAAGCTGAAGCAGCTGGTTTTAGACAGTGAATAAAATGAGGAGCTACACCAGCATAAGATGATAAAGGATGATGTTGACCTGTGAGTAATGTAAGGGATGTTGCTTGTTTTTGGACTCCACTCGAATTTTAAAAATGAGTATAAGGTGCTGGAAATGAGCATTCAGGCCTACTTTAACGACAGCTACTCTGAGTACTTGACTACTGTTTTTTAGCATTGATTTACAATAATGGGGGCCTGCTCAACTGGTCAGTAATACTTGTAGTAGTCCATGTGGAGATCAGAGTATACACCTCAGTGGCCACATCATTAGTCACACCTTCCTGTATCAGGTTAGACTCATTTTTACGTTCACAACTGCCTGTATTATTTGTAGCATACATTCAACAAGGTGCTGGAAAGATTCCTCAGAGATTTTGATCTGTGTTGGCATGAAAGCATCACACAGTTGCTCCTGATTTGTTGACCGCACATCCATGATGTGATCCTCCCATTTCAATACATCGCAAAGGGAAAGATTGAGATCTGGCAACTGTGGAGGCCATTTAAGTACAGTGAGCTGGTTGTCATGTCAGTTTTGTGACATGGTGCATTCTCTGGCTGGTAGATGGGTACACTGTGCTTGTAAGAGATGGACATAGTCAGAAACAATACTCAGGGAGGCTGATAAGGCTGATAAGAAACTATAATCCCCACCACCACCCTGAACCACAGATACAAGACACGATGGAAACCGTGGTTTCATGTTGTTCATGCAAAATGCTGAAGCGAGCCGACTGTCAGAGTTCTTCTTCATTCTGATTCTCAGTTTAAGCTTCAGTAAGTCGTCTTGATCGTCTCTACATCCCTAAATGTTCATTCGATTTTTGCATTAACCAGTTTATGTTGTTAATCTTTCTACTCCTTTTTGTTTCTAGCTGTTTCATCGTGTCTGTCTTAATCTTTCATCTAATTATCCCACCTTAATAACTATGCTACTACTGCTTAGTGTAAGCCGGTGCAGTTGCAGCTAAAGGTCAGTCCCCTCGTGCCAGCTGGCTCCTGTCCAGCTCATCATCCCAAAGTAGTGGCTGTGCACTCTTGCATTTAAATATCTCCTACTTTGTCTTCATTTACTCTTCATCTTTTTTCTCCTCTTGATTCCTCCCCTCTTCCTCCGTTGCAGTTTGTGATCCTGTGTCGTGAGTGGAAAGCCGATTATCTCCCAGCACCACAGGAGACACGAGGAGCCGCTGTTCAGCTCGCGCAGCACAACATCACGTTTTTGTCTTGAAGACACTTTATCTATAAAACTTGACTTAATAATATATTTGACTTTGCAACAGCACTATAGGTTTTCTTGCCAAAGAGTGTTGGCGGAAGTCTACTCTTAGATATTTAACGAGCTAATTTGCGAAAAGCTCCTCAATGCCGCACAGCGGTGTAGAGAATTTAGGGGTGGGCGGGGTTGGGTGCTTCTCCTCAACTTGAGGACAAAAATTGAAGTTGGCATGCTTCTACCTTAGCGAGGTGTTTCTAAATTAAACACAGAAGCTAACAAATATATCTTGTCAAATAAAATTACCGTATGGGAAATGTTGCTTTTTTTAAAAACCTGGAGCCACGATCCTGCTATAAAAAGCCTTTTTTAATTTGTTTTGTATTGTCTGTGGGTTTCTCTTCTCTTTTGTGCACAGATCAACTGTTCAAGATGAAAGTAATCGGCGCCGCAGTGCTCAGCGTCCTGTTCTGCACGGGTAAGCAAGAACATAATCAGTCACCAGGGAGAGAGTTTAGATAGATGAACTGTTGAAACAGACTTCCTGCAAAACCACATTTGTTTTAACTGGGTGATTAGCATGGATGCTGTGAAAGCCTCACCAAAGAAGCTAAAACACATTGTGATCTAGTTAATTTCCACTTATTTCCTTTCATTTCGCCTGTAATGAAGAATCTGGCTCTTTGTTTTTGCATCCAGTCTATTGTTAGCTGTCATTATTGGCGGCATTTACATTTCAAATGCTTTAATGCTTTCTGCGGAAGCTGTGTGGTTTTTCACTTGGAACAAAGGAAATGATTTAAAGGTTTTTGTATAATCCAGCAGACTAAAAAGAAATGCGCATTCAAATAAACTCATTTTAAACTAATCTTTTGTTGTTTTCCCACAGTCCTGCCAGCATCTGCAAAAGGTAAAAATGGTTGTTTGGATGTTAATGCACGCCTGAGAACGCTCTTTGAGGATTATTATGTTATACACGACAAAGACAGAGTGTTTGTGCTTTTAGGTTAAAGCCAAGTATAAAAACTAACAAAAAGAGTAATTCAACATATCTAATAAAAACATCTTGATTGCTTCTACCAGTAAAAACGGAACACAGGACAGCTTTCTTTGGCGAGGACGTCCACATCGATGTCCCACGTGGGAATGGCAGCGAGGTCATCTTTAAATCTGCGACCAGCGAGTCCTACGACATGCCGCTGATCACAGCGGGGAAAGTGGTGAATCACAACATTTCCTATTCCAACACTTTGGGCTACCTGGTGCTAGAGGACGTGCAGGAGCAGAACGAGGGCACGTACATCATCAAGGACACCAACAATCCGAACACTGAAAGGCACTTCAAACTCATCGTCAAGGGTAAGCCTCCCTCTGTCTTCTTCATGTGCTTTAAGTTAGATTTTTTTTAAATGTGGTTTGGAAACAGGAAAAATGCTGGACACAAGAGATACGAAATGCGAAGGAGACATTCTGTGCAGGCCGGCAGTATAACCGTGAAAGAAATTCTAAATGTTCTCTATGATCGGTCTTGATTTTTTAAATTTCACCTGTCTTACAGCAAAGATTGTTCAACTCAAACACACAAAGAAGACCAGGTTTTATTTGCAGGAAGCCAGAAAATACAAATTAGTCACCATCTTAAAAGGAAACGCAACACGTCATGTTAGATGACTCAAAAGCGCTTTGGGGCATCTCATGTGTTTTTAAAAATGTGCTTTGTAAATAAAAGTGACTTTACTTGACATAAGCTTGATAAGATACACACTGTGCTTTACGTACATGAAGATACAGGACCCATGTTGACAATAGTGCAGAAGAGAGGCGAAGAAGAGAGCGCTGACAGGGTGGAGTGAAGGGTGAAGACGACTGTCAGGAGTGATTATGACTAAAGGATAGCAGCAAGAGTGAAGATGATAGCGAGATGTGTGTGTTTACTGGGTTTTGTTTGGAGCTGACAAAAAGACAGAAGCCAGAGGTGGAGGTGGCACAGATGGAAATCAGTGGAACAGCTCAGGTTAAGCAGGTGGAGACAAAGTCAGAGAACCAAGAGATGGTTTGTACATGTGCCGAGGTCAGATAGTAGATATGCTGGACAGACGATGGTAAAGATGGAGCTGCCAGGCAGGAGGAAAAGAGGAAGATGACACAGAGCATTCATGGATGTAGTGAAGGAGGACATGAGAGGGTTGGGCTCACTGAGATTTCTCCTGAGAGTTTAATATTTACACTGAGGTGACTTTTGCCACAACATGACAAATTTCTCATCTTTGACTGTTTGTTCTCTGTGTCGATGATCAGACTGCGCCTTGGAGCAAATTGTCAAATACGGAGAAACCTACTACATCCATCTTAGCAACATCAAAGGACCCATCACCCTGGAGTTCAGGTATGGTCATCAGAGTGAATCAGTACCAAAGCTGGAATCATTTTCTTTACAGATTGTTTGAATGTTTTGACTTAAACAAGAACAGTGTGATGAGAAGACAAAAACAAATGCAAAAATGCAAACATGCCATAAAATCTAGAAAAAGGGAACACAAAGCAGAAATCTAGAGATAACAGATGGGTGGGTGACAAAGGCCAAAGGGCTGTATACACAGAGGACTGATCACACATTAGGAAACAGGTGGGAACATCCAGGGAAACATTAAGTAAAAGCACAGAAGACATACAAAGAAAAACAGTTACCAAATATACCAGAAAGACACACATGACAGAGAGAGGGGACGACTAGAAACACACAAAGGAATAACAATAAAACACATACAGAGGCTGCTCTCCAGCTCCTTCTGTGTTACATCTTTTGTGTGTTGAAATAAGCCAGAAATGAATTAATAAAGAGAAGAAGAAACAGGGCGGTTAACATCTCTGGAAACATCCTTAATCGCAGTCACTGTGTTACTTTATCTGTTCTGTATTATTCTGATTTTTCACCATTTTTAGGCCCAGTCCGTCTCAACTTAATCAGTCAGAGACGCAGTACACAACCGAGCCTCCACCTGTGGTGCTGTACGACCAGACGGGTGTGTTGGCAGAAGAATACATGAAACGCCTCAGCGTGTCGGAGAAGCGTGTGGTGCTGCACTCGGTCAGGATGACAGATGAAGGCAGCTTTACAGTAAAAGACAGCGAGGGCAAAGTCAAGATTCGGACCTGCCTGAATGTCAGAGGTAAGTGAAGATCTGAGCTTTACAGCATCCTGTCGGCTTTAATCGATCACTCGGTGTTAAAGTGAGTCATTCTGTGTGCGTGCAGATGCTTTGTGCCTCTGACTTCCTGTCAGTCAGTAGCTCTTTTCTTTGTATTTTACTTAAATTCTACCACAATGGCAAACTCTTGTTTATTTTCCCTGAACGTATTCACACTTCATGTATTATTTTTTCTGCTTGGCCCACCTGCAGTGACTCTGCCCCCAACTGGGGTTTGTGTGTGTAGTTCTTAACCACACAAGCCCAAGGCTACACTTTTAAAATTTTGCCTGAGGAGAAAATCAAATTTAGTCAATAAAATAAAGTGTCAGGTAAAAATAAGTAACCTTGGGCTCTATGCATGAAAAAAACTTTTGATGCACAGTAAGGCTAATTTTAAATGTTGTTAGTTCAGAGTGTGATTTGAAATAGAGATTATAAAGTTTTTGCAATATTTTTCTACCTAATCAAAAGTGACAAAAAAGCCACGAGACAATCATTCAGCTGGTGTTACTGAACCTGCTTT